GTTTGCAAATCTAATAACAGCTTGGGTAGAAATTTTTTTCCTACTTCAGAGAGTCCAATACTATCACTACCCTTCCTACAATATATAGATAGTCTCAAAGTGACTAGTCTGTACAGGGTAAATGCACAACATCGATTAGCCTAATCCATCTTTTGTGTTGAGGGTAGCTTAAGTACTAAAGTCCACTAACGACCCTGCCTGGATTCCTTCTGTCAGTGGTTCTCAAACATAAATAATCTACAACATACTTGGGTTAAATTAAAATAAAATAGAAATTAATAAATGCCTTTTATTTATATCACACAAGCAGTTTGTTTTCAATTCTACAGTATGTGCTAGTGATACTTTTGTTTATAGATTTAAATAAAATCGAAAATAAAACTAAACTATAAAACATTTTATTTATGTATTGTTGCGTTCAAAAGTTAAGGGGGAAGGACTTTTAAAAACCGCACTGGTTGGCAGTAACAAAACGCAGAAATATCCGAAAAAAAAACTAATAAATAAGTTAAAAATAAAAGAAGTCATTGTATTTAATTTCGTGTGAAAGTAATCGTAATTGTACACCATTATATTTAGTTCCTTTTTCTGTCAATCGCTGTCACATTTAGTTTCTGCTTAATTATCATCATCATTATTATAGTCACTGTCATCACTATCTCCGTTATTTATATTTATAATAATTGGTTCGATATCATCCAACAAATTGTCAATTTCCCACATTTTTTTTCTGTTACTATTACGTGGTTTACGTAGTTTTTCCATTTCTCTGGCGTAATGACCTGGTACGTTGCTGTAATTAAATTTCGCATTTCAGCTTATTTAAAATTCGCGTTGCGTCCAGCTATATACCGTTTCACTTCACACCAAACCAATTCGATGAGATCGAGTTCACAGTGATAGGATGGGAGCATCAGAATCTTCACATTGTGCTTTTTGGCAATATCTTCTATTGTGTACCTGTCATATTTTGCTTTGAAGGCCTTGACTACATCAAGTAACTCGAATTTTAAGTAGTCTACTTAAAAAAATAGGTCCTTTGACAGAAGCCATTCTTAAATATCTTTTTATAGTGTTTAACTGTTGGGAATTTGTTCTGACTTTCTGCTGTGATAGGAGGCATTGTCCATGACAACAGTTTTTTCTGGAAAATTTAGCATTAAGTTATTTTCGAACTAATCTTCGAAGGTCGGACCATCCATTTCGCCGTGGTAGTCCTGAGTATTTTTCTTTGCCAAAAACGTGAGCTCTGTTCCATCAACAAATCCATTGGTAGATCCTGCGTGCAATAAAACGAACCGTGTACCACGAGCTGTTGGAGCTTTTAATCCTGTTGTCAGACCACGAACAAAAGCATCGCGATGAGATGTAATTGTTTTATCAACCAATTCTTTTTTCATACTGTGCCCGATATTTTCGAATTGCGCGTAAATAACGTTGACGCCACGAGATGATATCTGGTTTTTCAATCAAAATTGAATTTCTGCCACGTTTTATAAACACAAAATCCATATCACTCAGAAAGCGATGTAGCGTGGCCCGTGAAAAGTTAGGCAAAATTTCTTCGACATTTACAACAGCTAATATGGTGTTCATTGTTGGTGGTATGTTCACGAAAAAATTGATGAACTATTCTACGAATTTGGCCCCTTTCGTGACACCTTCATCGTACTGGTTGTCACGAGAATTACCAACCTTTCGCTTCTTGAGCTTGCTCTTTGGAGATTGTAATCCAGCAGGTGATGAATATTCCTGTCTTATGCGAAACAGAGTCTTTTCGCAAACATCACTCATTTCTGACACTTTCCTAATTACACTTGATACAGAATCATTGTTATCCTGATTAAGATGATAATTAATAATATTCATTAGTGTCTGCTTCTCTGAATGTTTCAGAGCTTTTCCCGTTTCCATTGAACAATTTCCTCGATTTTGCGGTAAAAATTCGGCGTCAAATATAACAATAGCCAACAACAAAAAATAACAATAATTGCCAACAGCAAATCACAACAACAGCCACCAACAAATAATAAAACAGTAACAGTACATCCAAGATGGTACAAATAATCGTAACTCGAATATGTTTACGCGCTCCGAAGAACAAATAAAGACTAATTAAGAAAGACTTAGAATTAACTTAGAAGAAAGTATTTGAAAAACTTTTAAACAAATGTTTATTTAATGCACATTTTATTATACTACGGCTACTAATAAAAGATAAAAGTTGATCAGTTACTATTAGAAACAAATGATGTATAGTATTATGTAAAATTATTAGCAAAAGATATTTGTAAATTACATAAAATTGTATGTGAGCACTTATTGAGAACTCCTGGTTTATTCCGTTTATTTTGAAAGATAGACACTAGATAACACAATCGCTCACTGCATAAAACTGTCAACGTCTTGGCGAAATTCCCATAAACTTAGCATTGCATATCTCACCCTGTACAGACTAGTCACTTTGAGACAAAGTATAGATATGTATTAAAAATATAATACGTTCTGGCGTCAGCAAGACATTGCAATTTTAATCCATATTTAGCCGGTTTTGATAGCATATACATTTTGAAGCGGCAATTACCAGGAAATGCTATTAACATTTCATCAACAGATATGTTGACCCTAAAAAAAATGAGATTTGTAAGCTTTGATTAAATTTTTCAAGTAATTCCGTTATTCCAGCACATGGATAAGTTTTTTTCCATTCTTGTTGATCAACTGGATCATCAAATCTCAGTTTGTAAGAGCATAAAATCTTTTTGCAGACAAAGAGTGCCTAAAAATATCTCGTCCTATTCCAGCTGTTACAAACAAGATCCTTATGGTTTGATTTAAACACAGCTGTATAAATCAGTAAACCTAGAGGCAATTCATTTCTTCAACTTTGACATTGCAGAGTTCCCTTCTGGAGGGATTTGAATACTTAGGTCTGACATTTTCAAGTTTTTTATTTGTGTCACTCTTGTGTCATATCTGCTGCAAATATAGATTTCCAGAAAACAATAGGCTCTACTTTTGTTGCTAAGAAGTTGGCATTTTTATGAGCTGGTGTTCTTACATTTTTGTTAGGTGCAGTTGCCAACCATTCAAATCTATTTCGTCCATAAAAGTACTTTTTTCTGCCTTCAACATGTTCAGTATCAGAAGATGATCCTTCATAAATTTGAATCATACCCAATTCAACTGGTTCCTTATCAGCAGATTCCTCTGAGTTGATTTTGTGGTCGCGTGATCAGCATCCTCTTGGTCAAACATTTCTACATTAGAGTCAAATGAATCAAATATTTGCATTACTTTCTTTTCAAATTTAGGATCATCATATCAGACTCGTTTTGAAACAGGATACTTTGACGTTTTTTTAGTCACGAGAAATAAACAAAATTATTTTATTGAAAATCTGATATAATTGTAGTTTGTAACATACCCTGTCTAGGGGAACACAAGCACAGTGTAACTCAAAAACTAAATGCAACATAATCACTACACTACACTCTAAGGTTGACAGCAGACTAACTTGAAAGATACTGGAAAGCACAATTGAAATGAAAAATAGTAAATGCTCACCACAAACCCAAGTGCAGTGGACCATGGTCAAAATGCCTGTTAAGGGTTAATGGCCATTAACTACAATTTCAGTTGAAAATATTTTTATTTTGACATTTCAATTTCCACTTTGTAAGTGAAGTTTTTATACAGTATTCTCTTTCACAGCCATGTCATTTGTATTTTCCATCCACTTCTGTTTTTACAATATTCTCTTGAATGATATTTTGTAGTAGATATTTATCCTCTCTTATAAAATGCTCTAAAATATTGCAGTGTATTACTTTTGATAATTAATAGTAAACTATTTTCTTCTAAACAAAAATCTTCTAAATTTGATATTTTATCCATCCACTTTTCTCTCAGTATCATTCTATAAATCCACATTTCAAATAATTATAATCTTTTGCAGCAATATTTATTCATTGTTTAACTCATAATGTAACAGATAGATGTGTCAGTCAACAGGTTTATATATTTTTTTCATGTTGAAACTCACTGTTTGTTTTCTTAATTTTTATTGTTTTTTTGGTGTGGTCATTCTTTTCATTTATCAATATTGCAACTATATTTCTCCACCCTTTCAACTTAATTAATATGAAATGTAAACAGATATACTACTGCCACAAGATACAATAAATAGCTATAAACAGCAGCTAAACAAAAATAAGATATTACACCAAAAAACTCTACATCTTAACTATTTGTATCAAGAGACAAAAATGTTATTCCATTATATCTATAGCCTCTATATCAACAGATATGAAAATATTGAGGAATATTTATAAGTGTATTTTAAAAATTATCACATATCATTCCAACTAAGAAGACAGTTCCCACATTCTGAAAAATAAGTATCAAAAATATTGATGGAGATATTACCTAAGAATATAAGACCCATATGCCTCTATATTCTTTGATATTACTGAAAAGTGTTTAAATAAATAATAGCACAAAAATGCTTTATTGAAACATAGAATTATCACATTGGATATTTGTCCGTTTTCATTTCCGAATTGGAAAGATTTGAAGTGTTATTAAATATGACATTTAAATAAATTATTAAGTTAGAAACACATATAATGGAATTCAATTTCTTCAATTTTTGCTTTTGATGGGAGATCTGTCTGAAATCTTCCAGGTCTTGTGATTAAAAATATATATGCTCTGATTTATTAAGACCTTTCATTTTTATAACAACAATAAATAATAAATTCAAATAAAATCTACAAAAGGCTACACATAACCTAATATAATTTTAAAATAAAATTATCTAGTACTTGCGCATGGAACAATTGTATTACGTTTTCCATCCAATTCTATTTTTATTGCATATCCTTGTTTAACTCATGTATTAAGACAGAGTTAGCTACTTGCCAAATGTCAATATTCCTCATTAAGCGACATCTGGAAGAAGAATTAAAAGCTTCAAACCGGAAAACGGATACAATCTCCGAACATCGAAGAAGGTTTCCTAGCTAGATTTCCTTTGTTTTGTACAGAATATGGCTGCCATATTTAGTTTAGATGTCTCTTTTAAAAAGTGTTATAGAATTTGTCCTAAATATGCAGTAATATTATAGCAAGTTATTGCTAGATTGGTGAATATAAACGGTAAAATGTGTTAAAGTTATTAGAAAGTTCTTTAAAAGCTTCGCAGTGTTGGTTTTGGTAAAAAATGTTACTGTTTACATCCTTCTTCGAATACTTACATTTCATTTTAAGCATTTTCAGGTGAGTATTTAAGCTATATTTGATAATAATACGATAATGGGTGTATATTTTAAAGTAGTATATGAATATGTGATCTTTTTAATGATATTTGGTATTTTGTACCGGGTTCGAGGATACTTCGAAAATGTTCTATTTATTTTCTATGATGTTGCCCAAATTAATCTTTCGTAAATGTATTGCCATAACTTTTACAAGTTTCCCTTAATACAGAATAGTATTCTATCAATTCAAAATTAAAAAAAAACTTCGTTTTATAGAAACATTCAATCTTTATTTTGACAAATCCGCTGTTTAAATATGGACACTGCTATAATGAGTTCTCATCCCAGTTCTCATAATCTTACCAACATCTAGATCACAAATATAAATATTTACAGTGTTTTATTATATTTTGCGAAATTGTTCCATTTTTTTATTCAAAAATTATTAATCACAATATACATATATATACTTTCTCGTAATTTGAATGTTAGTTGTATCTCCTTTATGTCATATTTGATACAAGTACAAGCTATACCTGTTTTGGGTTTTTTAAGTTTTTATTAATGTTTGCTCAAAGGTTTTATATCCCAAAAGTTTTCTAAATGTTTTTAAGCATAAACCCAAACAACTAAGCAATGTTTTTTATTAAAATCTGTCAATTAGTTGTAAGTTATGTAATTTGTTTTTCTTTGCGCAGTACCTGTCTATTTGCATAGAATTAATTAGGATTTGAACTATTATTGACCCCTAGATTCCCATATAACAAATTCTAAAAATTTAGTGCATCGCGCCTACTCAAAAGTAATCAATATAGACAAGTTAACATTTCAGAAAACTTCACTAAAAGATATGCAATGGTTTGAAAATATTCTATATTTTGTATTCTCCTTTTTCGGGCCCCACAAGCACATAGTAGACGTACAATCGGCGCATGCGCGACCTCGGAAATTGACGCCGTCGCTTCTGAAACCATTTGCTGGAGCTTGCATTGCTATTGCTTGCATTTTGTTTTACACACAGATGGTGGTCAGCACTAATTTTATCATTATCAGGCATTAAATTCTAAATAGCGCAAATAGCTCTTTTATTCCGGGGCCATCACTTATTTGTATTCAGTAGTATTATGATGTTTATCCATCACTATTTTATGTTTTGTGGAGAATGTAGTGAAATAACTTATTTAGTTGTCAATATGGCTGATTGAATGACATCTTTTGACAGCATCTTTGTTGCAATGTAAAATATTTTACATTGCAGCGAAATATATTAAATATGCAAAATCCTTGGTTCTAGAAATTTTCTTCTATTTAATAATCTCTATTACATAAAATTATTTAAATAATATTGAATATTATCATTCTATGTTTTATATGTACATCATACTCCATGTCTTGTGTTCATTCCATACTGTTTAAATATCTGTATTATGGATAAAAAAGTTTAATTTTTTCTTAAGTCTTAATTTTTCACAACTCCCCCTATTTGGTCTAGTGTTACATTTCTTATTTGTTTGATTTTACAATGTAAAAAAATATAAAAAGTATCTACATAAAATACTATTTGATAATTAACCATTACTTTAAAATTCAATATTTTAAACAACTTGTACTCAGACACATATCAACTACAAAAGCCTTTGAGTATTTTTTATATGACTTATATATTAAGTTAAATTAATTTAATGTGTTAAATTGCAGTTTGGTTTAATGAAACTAGAAAAGAAATTTTATATTACTATATTATTATAATATATTACTTTATATGATTCCCCTTGAAAACTGGCAACTCTGCTTTTTTAAAGAGTTACTGGATTGGCAGTTTAAGCTTTAGAATCACAATTCATTTAGTGGATTGAATATACAATTATTGTCAATTACCATTTTACAGTTCAGCTAACAGTCTATATTTAGAACTTAATTTTCATAAATGCCTAACAAGCATAATTAATGCATTTGTAAATATGTAGCTTCAGTCACAAAACTTTTAATACCAACATAATTAAAAAGTAGTATATTGATTGAAAAAGTATGTTTTATATTTCCATGACACTATAAATGATGTTTTTGGAATAATAATGAGACTTCACCTAATTATCATAATAAAAGGAAGGAAATTGTTACAAATATTTAATGTTCAAAGAGGAATAAAATTAAGGGTTTGCTGTGAAATGTGTTTTATCAGTTTTTTCATGGTACAAAATACACATACATTACATTACACTTCTACAGTATAATAATATATAATTACGGGATAATTACAAAACTAAAAATGGAAATAAAAAGTTTTTACAACATAAAATTTTTACACAAATTCTCCTTTAAGAGATATATTTAAAAAGGTTATATTCCCTCTGTTCGAAAATATTTTTACATTTATTTAATAAAGTAGGATTAATTAAAATGTTATCAGTACCATCATTTTTTTTTGTATTGAAATAATTGATTATGCAAAAAATGATCCTGAAAAAGATGATTCCAACAACAAAATCAAAATTTTCTCTAAAATATAAGAACTCTAAAATTTGTGTGCCACAAATGAAAAACCTCACTTCTCTTACAGATGTCACTTTTTTTCTACAGAACAGTGACAAGATGATTGGTCAATTTACTGTAATTCACAATCTTCAAATAGTGCTCGTTATAATATTTTTCATCTTGATTTTTTCAATTTTATGGAATCATTACAACATAAACACATTGAAGTTGTACAAGATACTATTTCGGGCTCAATCTCCTTCTTAAATCCACAATTATATTGAGAAATACAAAAATAAAACTATAAAAAACAATAATATGCCTAGTCCTATCATATGGTTCAGAGACCTGTAACAAAAAATAATAAAAACATGTTAGGATGTTTCGAAAGAAAAGTACTAAGGCGAATCTTTGGATCAGTGAATGACAATGGAGTGTGGAGAAGATGATACAACTTCGAACTTAATAGAATATATCGAGAAACAGATATCATAAAACATATTAGGATTGAGGTGGATAGAGCATGCAATACAGATGGAACAAAATGACCCAGCTAGAAAAATATACCCTTGACAGACCCATTGGCCAGAGAAGAAGTGCTGTGCTGTCATTCTTTGTATAAAATTATATTATTGGATAATTTGTAATTTTTAAATAAATAAAATAACTAACTTGTTAGTGGATACCATGACAGGTGAAAATCCAAATGTATATTATATTGTTAGACAGAGATTTTGTTTTATGGGTAGTAGTAATAATAAAGATAATATATTATGCTGTTCTACTAGTAAAAAATCCAAAGGTCAAAATATATGAATTGAGATTTAAGTTACCTGATAAAAAGACACATGGAGAATTAACAGTAACCCTACATACCAGTTTTCTGGTGAGTTATAGTATTTTACCCACTTTTTTTCACAATGTCTACATTTTCATGAGATTCAGGCCTTTATTTGTTATTTTGAATTCTAATTATCCTGTAAGTAAAAGTTCTTTCATCTTGTTTTTTCTTCATTGCTCTTATTTTTAGAAATTTTAAGTAATTTTCTATCCATAAGTGTCTCACCATAAATCATTACAAATATTTATGATTGTACTTTTTATACAAATCAAGCAATATATGATATACTTAATAAGTAATCAAATGTAACATATTTACAAATATTGTAATAAAATTTAAAGCTTAAAAATCCATTTCAATCATGTCATTTCTTCACATCAAATTTAATAACTCAATTTAAAATATAATCCATTATAAAATGTAAGTTATCTCTAGATGATGTAATACAATTGAGTAATTATTTTAAGCAAAAAATTACCATAAATTAAATACATTAACTGTTTACTTGCAAAAATTACTGTTTTTCTGTTATCTGTTAAATATTATCAAATTCTGAAGTGTTCCATATCCAACATTCCTTGTTTATACTTTCAGACACTGTGCTTTTTTAATAAACTAAAAATAGTTTGGATTAAAGATGACACAGTCTATTTATATATAAAGCTGTCTTATTTTGAAATATTCCATGAAAGTTGAGATGATATGAGACGAATATATCCAGGACAGTATTTGACTCATTTTATTAAAAAAAAATTAAACTAGTGTAATAGCCAGATATATAATTAACTTATACTACAAATAAATTTAATTTTTCTTCCCAAAATAAATTAAATGTTTCATTTTACTAAATGAAATAACATATTTTTATTTAGAAGTAATATAAAAGATTAAAAATTTGTTTTACCTTTCACTAAACGGTCATTCAACTCAAATTAAATTTAACTGTCTTTCATAATAATTGTTTCAATAAAACAAGACTTATCTAGGAATAGAGATAAATTTTATGAAAAAATCATTAAATCCAATAATTTGTAAATCTTCATTTACTTAGTGTTTTTGAGTTAATGACATTTTGCCTATAGTTGTAACTTCTTGTCTAATAAAATTAGGGCTAGGTTAATCTTCATTTAGTGATCAAGAAATATATTTACCAGTTATTAAATAAATTTATCAATTTAGAATTCTTTATCATTCCTGAATGTTATAGATCCAAAAAATTTTCAGAATGCTTTCATTGTATAATATGACTTCTCTTATGAGAAGAAATATTATTAAACATTATTGATAGGCCTGGACTAAAAACTGGATGGTCTAAGTGCTGAGCCCAATTTTATTATTTTTGTTTTGCTCTTGCATTGTCATTGGGAAGTAATATATGATGAGAATGCCAATCTCTTTGATTGGCAGCTCTGTTAAGTAAATTAAGTGCTGATTTTCAAGAGAGTTCTTGTTTTAAATAAAATGTTTATACGAAAAATACATCTTAGGTTATTTATTTTAGGATTTAGGTGTGTGTAAATTATTAATGAAAAGATATCCTTTTTTTTAACAAATCCTAGTATGAAGAAAATGTATAAGTATGTTTTTATGTAGATTGATCTTTTCTTAATTTAGAGGCTATTATGTAAGTGAACACTTGGAATTAATTTTTCATTATTTTTGCATTGCCTCAAGCAGTGAAATTTTCTGATTTAAATTATACAATAAATATTTCTTCAGTGTATTATCTTAAGAAGTTATTGGATTCATTAAATCAGTATGCACATAATACAAATCTGAAGGAAAAATTTTAATAATTTCAAATATTTGTTCAAATGAAATGTCCTAACTATACAGTTTAGTTTAAATTAAATATATTTAAGTGAGCTATATAATATTCAAATCTGACCTGCCTAAAAGAACCTTCCAAAAAACATTGTTGTGTAAATTGATCATACAAATCATAAACAAATTTAATTGATTGATTTGTCAAATAAATAGCTACTTTTTAAAAGCTGCATCTATTCATGGGATTCCTTTAGAAGCAATGAGCAACCTCAATATAATGAAACTGAAGGAAAATATACTAGGTTGGTATACAATTTGTTTTAAAAAAGTAAAAAAAATGTTTAATAATACCAACTTTACATGGGTACTAATCTGCACACTCTGTTATGATTTTCAGTAATAAATCAAAACACTGTATTTTTATTTCTAAATAATATATACAGTTTTGTCACAAAACAAATAAAATGAAATGCAGTAAATACATAAAAATCTACACTGCGCGTCACAAAAAAGAGGCCACCTAAAATTTTTGCCATTTTTTAATTTTTATGAATCACACCACAAAGTGATTGTCATTAGGTGTTTGTGTAATGTTCAAGAATATGTTCTAAAGCAGTATGCAATCACTTTTTAAATAAAAAATTTCAAAAAATAACTTCTTCCAAAATAATGATTTTATTGAAAAATAAAAAAATTAACATTGTACATTTTTTCTGCTTTCTTTATAAAATTACAATTAAGTCGTGATTATTACTACTGTGTATTACCACCTATATTGTGAATTACACTCCTCATTTGATTTGGCATTGAATTGATCAAATTCTGGATGAAAATTCTGGCTTTGAGGAAAAGCTTCCCATTCATCTATGAGCATCAACTGAAGCTGCTCACAATTTATTGGAGCAGGTATTCTGTTTCTTAGCCTTCGTCTGAGTTGGTCCCAAACATGTTCAATCAGGTTCAAATCTGGACTTTGAGCCAGCCAGTTCATTTTTGGCACACTGACAGTTTCCAGATATTGTGTTATCATCTTGGCTACGTTTAGCCGCACGTTTTCTTGCATAAAAATAAAGTTTTTGCTGACAAACCCAGCAAAAGGCATTACATGCTTGTCTAGAATTTCGCTAATGTATCGTTGTGCATTCAACATTCCTTTATCAATAAATACAAGATCAGTACGGTCCTCAAATGAAATATCTACCCAAAACATTATTGAACCTCCTCCAAAATTAACACATACTCGTCGAACACAAGCAGTATATTGTTCCCCACGTCTTCTGTATTAATGCGACCATCTGAGCTATAAAGAACCATCCTGGACTCCTCACTAAACAAAACATTTTTCCAATCTTCTATCGTCCAATGCTCGTGGTCTCTAGCAAACTATAGTCGGTGTTGTCGATGTGCTGAACAAAAAAGCTTCTGTTGCTGGACAGCGAGCCCTTAGACCAAATTCCCTCAACCTTCTTCTCACGGTAGAAGTACCCAAAGTCCACCCGTGAGCATTTTGAAAACGGTTTTGGATTGATCTAGCCTTAATGAACTGATTTTGCAAAGAAGTGCGTTGTAAAGGACGGTCCTCTCTAGCCGGCGTGATTCTTCTTTTCGTCATTCATGAGATCCAGTCTTTATGAATTATTGGTACATTTTTTGGACTATGAAACGACAGCTTGGAGTCAGTCTAGCCACTTCTCTTTGTCTCATTCCATTACCAATCAAAGTAAAAAATTTGAACAAATCTAGCAAATTTCCGAAGCATAGTTTTTAACTTAAAAATTGCACAAGTTTACTCTTCGAACAACTGTACACTAGTAAAAGGTTTTTGAAAAACAGAATAGCCATATTCCAAGAAAAATAAGGTACAAACAACACATACATTATCCGAAGTTGTAAAACTGATATCAATTCTGCAAACTTATTACCCTTAATTGACCTGTTGGTGCCTAAAATATGCTAAAAATGTTTCTGCATTGTGGGAATTTAGTTACAATAAAATAAATTGTATAAACTTGAAGTTATTAAAAAATTGTTACAAAATTCTAGATGGCCTCCTTTTCGTGACTCGCAGTGTATTTATATAATGATATAGTGATGTTTCATTTCTCTGCAACAGTAAAGGAACACCTTTTTTTTATCAGCCATTTTTTTATTTTTATTTTACATATATTTTACATTTTACTTAACAATAAAGAATATGATTTTCTTATGAAAAATTGAACATGTCTGAACCTGTTGAGACATAAATTATTGTGAAATTGAATGTAAATCATTGATAAGATATGTTATATAAAGGTAATAAATTCATAAAATTCATTAAATGGAGTTGAAAAATTGTTATAAAAGGTTTTTTAAAAATGTATTAGTAATTAGTAGAGGTATGTTTTGAAAAAATTGTTAAATTGTGGAAACCGTTATATTGAGGGTTGTTATATTAAAGTTAAACTGTAAGAGGAAACAACTCTAAAATATAAACTAAATGTTATATACAGATTTAAATATAACAACCTTACTTAGAAAACAAGTATAAAGGGACTGGCCAACTTTAGAAGGCTAAAAACACATTGGCCATATTATCTATAAACACAGATAGATTAGAAATTTCAGGGTAGGTAAGCTAGTAATCTCGCTCAAGTCCAATTAACATCATCTAACTTAATAATAATCTAAATTGTATATGTAGTTTATACATTTAGTTCTGGTTATTATAAAATAAACATATTTAAAAAGTAATGCTTGATTAATTGTGATATTTTTTATTCTAGGAAACTGTAGTGACCTGGATACCAGAAATTCAATTTCAAAGGGTGGTGGTGGGGATGCCACTCATTACACATTAAATCAGACAACAGTGGAAGAGAAGAAAAATGTCTCAGCTACTAGTGCTTCTGGAACGATGAGTGTTTGTTTTGAATCATCAAATGTACTCACCAATGTGGTGAGTACATCTTCAGAGACTTCATTAGAAGAAAATGTTCCAATTACTAGTGTTATGAGTCAACCCACAGTGGGTACAACAGTAGTGCAGCCAATTGTATCCAATACAATTTCAACAAGTAGTGATAAAAATGAGCAGCCCCCTCTTCCAACAAAGAGCATTGCAAAGCTTGTTGTAGCTAATGCAGCAGCTAGCACTAGTTCTGTTCTCCAGAAGGTTGTTAATCCTCCAGTTATAACAGTTTTGAATCCAACAGGACCTTTGACAGTGGTGAAGACTTTATGTGTTACTTCTGGAGTATCTAGTACTCCACAGTTCACCTTAGTAAATTCAGCACCTTTGAATGTCACTAATGCTGTTGGAGGAAAACCACCTACTATCACCCTTCTTAATGCACCTGTGACGGTTGTTAAGGCAATAACAACACCACAAAATGTGGAGAAAAATTTATCAGAAGCAGCCACTACAGGGACCCCAAGCAATACACCTGTCTCGACAATTATTGAAAATAGAGCACACAATGTTTTTGTTAAAAATACTTGCCCAGATTCAACTGTTGTGGATATTCCACAGAGCCATAAAATATTGACAACAAATAATTTTCCCCAAACAAATGTGAGTATCCTGTAAATATAATAATAAATCATTAATTTCAATGTATACATTTTATTCATAATGTTTTACATGGTTTTCTGTAATGTTCTGTAACATTTTTTATTTATTACATTTTATAATCTTATTTTAAAAATGACACTATTATCTTCACAGATTATGAATGTTAGATAGATGGTAGAGGTAGAAAATAAATGGTATATATCTGTCAAAGAAATATGAAAAAATCTCAATATTATTAGCTAAAAATTGGTAGGTTAAATAAACTATTATCAAAAATATTGTGTCACTAAAACTAAATCAGCATTCACGAGGATGACCAATATCTTTAATTGGTTTGTTTTAAATGGATTTAACATTTTTTATAAAGTTGTGAATAGAGATACCACGAATAGTGATTCAGAGCAATACTAATATTCAGCTCCTGACCTCCCTATCATGAAGCCTAATTTTTCAGGATTAAAAATGCCTCTAAAACTCCATGTCAATTTCTTACTAACCAAACAATCAAGCAACTTTGGACTGATTACAGGCAGCTTCATAGTTTGATATGTACTTGATTTAAAAATTGGCTTTAAAAATTTTTCTCCCAGAGACTGGGAAAGCTACCAGTAGAAAGTGATCTGTTAAACTAACAAATGATTTTCTAGTACAAGATTTTTCAAAATTTGCAAACATATTGGCAGAGTCTTTAACATTTAAGATCAGACATGTATCCCATTTTTAAATAAACATTTTATTTATTATGCTTTATGCAAATGAGATTGATTTTTATTTCAAAATTGTTTGCATATATATCGGATGGCATGACCTTATAGGTGGTGGTCAGAGAATGCAAAAGTACATATATCCAATCCTGACAAACTTCGCAAAGATTTATCTATTGTCTCCTGACAAGTAGTGTACATAGTGCAAGGCTATTCTCAGAAGCAGGTATTATTTACAAAGAAAAGTGCAATAATTTGATATCATCAGCTGAAAAATTGTTTTTATTTATCACAACTTATCACTGATAGATTTTGAGTATTAACTAATTATTTGTGATTAAAATTACATAACATTTTTGAATATTACTGTTTTCCCTCATGATTTGGTATTCAGTATTCAGCCAAATAGCATGCAGTAGTTGGTTGAATATTGAATATTTGAAAAAGTATCTGAATAGCCTAATTACCAAATAGGAGCTGAATATTTGTGGCATTACTAGTTGAGAATGTTAAATGATACAATAGTTATTAAATGATACAAATAGGCTTTTGAGCTGTTTGATTTAGTACATAGTTTAGGACATAGTATAGCAAGCTATAAAACAGAAGACTGGGCAATTATTACCACTATAAAATATCTACAAGTAGTATCTACATAATTCAATATTTTTCTTAAAAAATAGTTCTACCCATCAAATATAAAAATGTTGAACAACAACCCATAAAATTATAATTGTTTAGCTAATAGATAATATTGAAAAAAGAAAAACAAGAAAGAAAATATGACTACTAAAACTTAATAATCTTTATTTTTTATAATATGTATACATAGCCTTTTATTGTAATTAAAGATTACTTAATGTATGTAATTTGATATAATTGTTGCTTTTCACAATACTGTATTATACTGTATTAATGATTTTTGGGACTTGTTAAGAATGTAGTTATTATAATTCTAAATTTTGAATATTTTTTACAGGTTATAACAAATTCTCAGACAAAAACATTAAATGGGCAAAGAAACAAGGTTAAAATTGTAAGCAATGTGGTAGTTCCTGGAACTTCACAAACAAACAACAATGTTTTGATGAACAAATCTAATCAACAGCGCTATATTCCAAGACAAACAGTTATGGGTCCAAATGGCGCAACTACAAAGTACCTAAACAAGCCTTCTGCAAGTAATTTTGTAAAACCTAATGTTAGTTCTTCAATGAAGATAGTACAGGATAAGTCTCCAACTAGGATGAATTATCCTACTCATAAGAATCAAATTAAAACACTTCCTCCTGTAAATAATTACTTACAGAAACCACATCAACATAGTATAAAAACAATATCACCCCAAAATAAAAATATTCCAGGTCAAGTTACCAGGACTGGATCTGGATTAAGGACTATTCCTCCTCAGAAGTCACATAAATTATCTAATAAACCAAATTATATTGGCAAACATGCAGTTCAAGCACAGAAAGGAAAACCACCACATAATAAAGTGAAAGGAATCAAATTACCTAGTAATGCCCATTATAATGTTAATGTGCCACCAATGCCTGACAAACACTTAAGTGAGCTAACATTTAACCAGGCGTTGACTGCACAAATAATAGAGACCCTAAGTAATTCTAGTAGCACTGTGCAAAATAGTAGATATGATATGCCTTCAAGATATGACAGTGCATTTACTTGTCCAGAGATGAAAAAACCACATAGGTAAGTTATTGTTGAAAAGAACAAGTCATGAATTTTATTTTGTTAATTTTATTTTCTTTTAAATTACCACACTATTCATTATTTTGTTCCTAAAATTTAATTGTCTGTCATTTTTTAGATCTCATTTAGAAAAAGTGAAGTAATTCAATTTTTGATACCATAAAACCCCAATTATAAAAGCTACAGTTATTTAAAATAATAGCTGTATTTATGAATTATTTTATCACATTTTAATTGCCACTTTTGATTTTATTTATGATACTTTGAGAAATAATGATATTACATTGAGGTTTAGCTGTAATAGATTGTCACCAAGAACATAGTCATACAATTGATTAAATTTTTGACCTCTAACTTTTGTTTAATTTAATTACATACAAGGTAATGAATACAGGCTTTAGCATTTTTACCTTCAATGAAATATAGTAGTTGGGATATCATGAATAACATTATATTTGTGATAAAACTACATATAAAAAACAATATATGGTTGGTTAAATATTGAATCTCAACCAAAATCCTCATAAATCTATAAATGGCCAATTTTCGACTTATGAGGTTTCGATATTTTTGGCATTCGCCATGTTTGTCTTTTCTAATTATTCATTATATCCTCTCCATTTTTTTTAACACTTCATACTCTCCAATAGGACCAATAACAAAGATGTCATGTAAAGTCTGTTGGCAATGCCTCCATGTTGGTTTTTCTCTTAACATATTCGCTATCCCCTCTCCTTTCCAAGTGGACAACTTTCAGACATGCCACACCTGTCCCATGTCATACCTGGCGGTACATCACAGGATGCCGTCTATAGGAATGTTCCCATGTTCTGAGATATTTCTCAGAAAGGAACCTCTACTCACAACTCCAAAACCAGCCAACTACTGTTATTCTACTGTTTGACAAAGTAGTCCTTCTTTTGAGCAGGGAAAATGTATGTTCCCTTAAAGTGATATCCTATAACATCAACCTTGTGTCATTATAATTTTACAATATAATATGATTTTCATATGATCTAAAGTTTTTACACCTACATTGCATATTTCCTAAAGACTGAACAACATTTAAAGTAAAGTTGTTTCTAAAAAGTAGATATTTACTATTTTAATGTAGAAAAATGTATGGTAGATATTAAAACGACACCAGTTATTATTTAATAACTAAGCCTAAATAAGTGGAAGCCAAATGAAATAATTGTCAGGTGTTGTTAACACTGATTATTATTAATTGTATGCCATAATATTTTTCTGATAGTTGGGGTTTTATTGTAGTCATATAGGTTGGTCATATACTCATATTTATAGCCTTCATTCAAGATCTGTGAAATCCATATACCAGCAATGTTCTCCTTTGTTATTTTTTAACTTTTTTTTTTTTTGAGGAAACTTTGGTTGGGCTTAACTGTAAAAAATGTCATTTATGCTTTTTTTCCTGGTACCATTTAAATTTTTTGCTTTACATATCCAACCTATATTACATGTTAAAAAATTGTCTTAACTTTCAGGTTTCATGTTTTGAGCTATAAAAGATTGAGATTTATTGAAATAAAAAAAATTTCTCTCCCTCGCCCTCCAATTAATTAATTAATTAGTATGTCATGACATACATATGCATATCTTTTTTACTTAAAACAAATTTAAATAATTTATGGAACCGTATCGATAGCCATTTTCCACCTTTTATGTTACTTTTAACTTTTTCTAATTTTGCCAGTTTTCCAGCTTGGTTGATAATACACTATATCTGATATACCTCATTTAGTAAGCAACTCTAAAATAAGAAAAAAGTTAATCTGGTGTTATTTTTGATAGATCAGAGTTTTCAGATTCTCAGCTTTTCTTAATGTTGCTTCTAACACTAGATTAAACAGACAGTTAATGGATCTCCTTGTTTCAGTTCTTTTTTAAAGGAGAATTTTATTAAAAATGTCTCTAAAATGTGTATGGTTCCATTTACTAATTCTCTGATGCCTGCTTGTGACGATGGTGCAGCATCAAATATTTCAGAGGAATTTGAGCATAATTATGACACTGAAGAAGAAGAAACTGATACAGCTTCTGAAGTGGAAGCTGTTGATAATAATAATTTTAATGGGTATGGAGATTGTTACTAGGTGTATTCATTTTTTAAAAGAGAATTTATTGAAAGTTACCCCTAAAGTTTTATTATTTTTTGTTTGTTTTTTTTTTATTATGATTCAAAGTTGATATAATTTTCTAAGAATTTTAACCTATATTCATTCTGCTTGATTTTAGTGAACCTTGCAAATCTACAGAAGATTCAAATAAATCTGGTCTGGATGCATTATCTGTAATGTGTCAAGCAGTATTATTAGATCACAATTATCATGCAACTTTACCACCAGACTCCCCAATAAGACCATCTCCTACAATAACTATTCCTCCACAAGTAAATGGTATATCTCAACCTTCCATATATTCACCAGGATCATCAAAACGTAAGTTACTAAGATAGTAAATCTATAAATATCTGTTTGATATGTATGGCATCTACATTAAGAAAATTGTATACTGTATGAGAGATAATTTGCCTTTCCAGTTTATAAACATTAAAAGAAAGATTATTTTCTCATGCATCTGGTATTGTTACATCTCACTGTTCAAGGGAAGATATTTATTTTAAAAATAGAAATTCTATTTATAAAAATTTCTAAAAAATTTTAACTACTTAAATTTCACAAATGATTATGCCATACAGCTTAATTTTTATTTACCTGAATCCTGAATGGTACAAAGCTGAGACTATTATTTTTTCTGATTATATTGTGTTCTATTTGTTTTTATAATATCTTGCATTTCTAGGGCGACCAATGCCAATGTCCAGCACAGTAACTTCTCCGCCTATCTCAAATGTATCCAGCATGTCAATGATTCCAGTAAGTAACTCTATGTTGCCTGTCCATGATGACGATGCTGCATCAGATATTTCAGATGGATCTGACCGCAAACATGACACTGAAGGAGAAGAAACTGATACTGCCCCTGAAGCAGAAGCTGTCAATAATGAGAATATTGATGGTTATGGAGACTATGTAACGAGATGTATTTGGTAAGTATCTAATACATTTTAAAAAATTTGTAAACCATTTCAAATAAATTCAACTATTACCACTTTTGTTCAATTTTTAGTGGTTTTCTCCATGATGATGGTTACATGGTAGAGTGTGATAAATGCAAAGTATGGCAACATGTACAATGTGTTGTGAAAAACCGACAGGTTCCAGATGAATACTTGTGTGAGGAATGTGATCCATCAAAGCCTATAGATAGACAGAAAGCTCGTGGTATTCAGCAACAATGGATGAGGGAGAGACAGTTTGCAGATCCCAAATTAAGGAAGGATCCAAAAATAAAGGAGGCGTTTAAACCAAAGGAAACTGTTACTGATACAGATTCTTCTGATGGAGAACATGGTAAATATTTCTTAACTGCTTAATAGTAATATATTGATTTTAATCTGTTTGTAATCAAGTAATGACTTAAATAATTAATTAATACAAACAATTTTGTATTTATTAACTCATAATTATACTTTTATATTTCATTTCTAGTACCTCCAAGTTTTCCTACTAAAAATAGAGTATTGGCAAACAGGAGAAAGCTCGAAAATCATGCTAAACAAGCTGCTATTCGACAGCGACGAGAAGCAGCTAAAGAAGCAGCTCAAAAAAGACAGAAACGGAAAGAGCGGAAAATTGTGAGGAAAAAGGTAAGCAATCGAGTGTTAAATATATTTTACTAAAAAAACATCCTATATTTAGTTTTATACTATTATTACACATTCATATTTTTAACTTCAATTAATTTAGACTTCCGATAGGGACCAGCAACTTTGACAGTTGGTAGCGGCCATATTGTTGAAGCTACATCTGTCAAATTGGTTGTCATTTATTTAGTCAGTTGTGCCAAATATTTATGGATGAGTATAATGATAAACCTATTTTTCAATACCTTTTTAAGTTCAACAGGAACTCTGAACCTATGTCGATTGAACTAATATAAATATGATACAATTGAGTTCTAAATATGCAAAAATTTGTCAGTTTAATAATAATTTAAAATTTCAACTACATTGCATAGCATTAAATAAATGTTTTATGTAAACGGCTGACTAATACCCTATTCTATACAGTACACATAAATACTCTTTATATTCTTTTTAATTAAATTATATGTACCATTTTCAAGATATTGTTGTACACTTTGTATAAATAAACTCTAAACTATTTGCCATTTAGAAACACTTTTTATATCATTAATTGATTTTTAGACAAAAGTTCCAGTGAAACATAGTGATGATGAAAATCAGGACACTTGGGCGATCCATCTTCCTCAACTCAGACAGTGGATAGAAAAATATGAGGAGGCTGTCACAAACCATTACTCTCCTGAGTTAAGAGCGAGAATATCGAGCATTAGGGTGAATGGTGCTCATTCTGAATCAAACGTTCAATTTGACCCAACATCCAACAAAAGTCGGGTGCATACTCAACCTCTCACAGAAATCAAATACTTAGTTGCCACAGCACATCTCCCTCCTAATACATTTGTTGTTGAATTAATGGGTAAATATATGCTGTCGACGCAGCATCGAAATTCCGGCGGTTCTCTAACGACACGACAACATTCTCAAAGGCCAGGACCGTTTTTGTTCTTTTATCGACTGCACAAGGACAATACGGAAGTATGTGTCGATACAAGGACATACGGTAACACGACTCGATTTATCAGGCGTTCTTGTAAGCCAAATGCAGAGTTAAGGCATTGTATCGAAAAGGGTGCTTTACATATTTATGTAGCGACGACGACGACGGTTGACAAAAATTTTGAGCTGACAATCAAACACGAATCTCATGATCTGGCAGCCATAGGAACGACGAGTATTGCCTGTGCTTGTGGGAACGCTGAAGAATGTGGTGTCAATAGGACATCTGTAAAGAAAAATGGAGATGTTGTGGAGGTGTAAGTATTTTATTTATTTTATTACTTATTAAGGTAACTAATTTTTATTTGTAATTCTTTAATTTATTTGGTTCCTTATAAATCATCACTTATATTAAATGTGGCAATTGATAAATTTTTTTTAAATACTGTTGGTGTTGCATGAGTTGTTGAAGAAGTAATTGAATATGTGCTTAAAGTGCTACATATTTTTTTATTAGTATTTTGGACCATTTCATTTCTTCTATTTCTCTATTCTTTTCTGATATTATCTGCTACATTGATGAAAATTTCCATTGTCCATTTTTGATTAGAAGCCAACTCTGAAGAAATTTCTATTCTTCTCTCTTCTCCGAAGAAGATATAAGATAAAATATGTATTTATCGTTTTATTATTTCAACAGCCCCGTCCGAAAAAGGAGAGGTCGTCGAGTTACTTCTGCAAGTCTTCCAGAACCTGATCCACCCAAACCAGTTAAGGAAGAACCCCCTCCAGTTGTATCACCTCCTCCAGCACCACCATCTCCTGTAAAACCCAAAATCGAAAAGTTAAAAGAAGAAGAAAAAGTTGAGCATATTGTAAAGGAAGAAGTAAAAGAAGAGGTTCCTGAAGATCCTGTTCCAGAAATTCAGGTACACTTATCAATATATTTGTATATTTTTATCAGTTGGTAGTTATCTTAATTTATTATTATATTTTTTTCAAGACATAAAATATGATTCAAAGTTTACTTGTCTTTAGAATCCAGAACCTGTAAAAGAAGAAATAAAAGAAGAGGTCAAAGAGGAGGTGATAATAAAGGAAGAACCATTAGCAGTAGAGATTAAAAAGGAGGAAGAAGAAGTAGAGGAGCAACCAGAAGAACCTGATAATGAAAAATCTCTGGAAGAAATCAAGAGTCCTCCCCCTACACCCGTATCTACCAGAAGGGCTTCCCATAAAACTGACAAGGAAGATGATAAATCTTCATCCCCTAAGACAGACAGAACCGAAAAATGCAAGAAGTTAAGTAGAGAGGAAAGAAAATTGGAGGCGATTTTAAGAGCCATCGATCAGGTATGTAAAAAAATAAACAAATATCTCTCATTCCTCCATATTTCTGTATATATATTTTATAATTGTTGTTAAGAATTTGTCTTTAAATTATATTTTTTGTAGATGGAGAAGGCACAGTCTAGGAAACAAGAACACCAAGCAAAACAAGCCCATAGGCGAGAATCAGAACCGAATCCCGAGAAAAAGGAAGAGGAAAAACAGGAACCTAGACTAAAAAGACGAAGGCGAAAAGGTCGTGCCCGAACCGTTAGCCAGTCAGCAGCTAGAAGAAACCGCCTAAATTCGACAGACTCATACATGACGTCAGGAGATGAAAATCTATTATCGCCAAATGAAGGTCAACTCCCTATAAAACCTTCAAAAGACAGTGAAGGAAATGATAGAGCTGTGGGTCTTCTTCTTGCTCTTTCTAACGGTGATAATGACAGCAAAGATCACAAGTCTCCTACAAGAGATGTTGACTCAAATTCAAATTCGACCCATTCTTCTCCTGAAACACAACTTTCATCAGCTTGTCTGCTGGTACAGGCAGCTGTAGAGCCATTAGAACAAGGATTCAAATTTCCGAAAACGAAAAAAGGATTGATGAATGAATGGTATGTAATTCATTACTTCATAAATTTAAGTTAACTTAAATATAAACTTGAATTGCTTTTTAAAGGTTGAATAAAGTCCCCGAACCAGTTCAGACAGCCAGTGCAATTTCTCCGAATTCGCTTGTTTCACCAACCAATAATATGGATGTAGATTCCTCAAGTGGAGTTTATGCAGCGTCAAAGAACTTAATGTCTTTTTGTGAGGCAAACATACAGCCACGAGGAAGTGCAAAGAAACGATGGCTGCGACAAGCTATAAGAGAGGACCATTCTTGTGACAGTGGATCAGGCAGGCCAGGTAAAGTAATTGTAATATTACTGTTGACCAAACATAAATTACGGTGTTTTTAAAGATTTAGTTGCAGGCAGTGACTTAAATTAGTGAAAAGGACATTTATATTCATGCTAAAATTAAATTACAGTCCTTACTAGTCTTTCTTTTACTAAGTTGTAATGTATGTGTTTTGGGCATGTCAAGAATTTTATTAACTCAATTCTGAGAGTTGCCTAGATTGTATTTAGCCAAATGTGAAAATGTTACTGAATTAAAGCAGTATTTAATTGCAAATTGGATTAAAAAAATAAAGTTTGTTTTTACCTATTTTTGTATAAACTGTTTTAAATTGATTTGAAAAAATAAAAAAAAAAAAAATATAATAATCACTCACGTTGTAATAGTACACAGAGAAAATCACCAATAATGTGACTTAGTTATCTAAACGCATGTTTGCTTTTTTTGAGATCTGAAATCAAAGAATGTTTGCTTTTTGCATTTTGTCAACTAAAGTGGACAATTTTCGAGTTTGCCAGTGGTGTATCATTTTTGCGGGGAATTTTTAACGGATTAACAAAATTCTGGTTTTTCTTTCTTAAAGAAAAAATATTCATGATTTTTATTGCTAAATAAACTGAAGATGAGTGACAGAACAGTATAACCCGAACATTGCTGTTTTGCAAAAAGAAAATGAAGAAGAAAACAATTTTTTTCATAACATTGCTGTTTTGCAAGTTGTTTATGATTTTGAGTTCTTTAGTGACAAATGGAATGACAAAAAAGTATTAGGAACAGGAAGACATTTGCAAAAATATGGTTTATTCTGTTCTCTCACTTAATTTAAAACGTTACACAGTTTTGTATACTGTAGTAGTAAAAATTAATCAAGAAAGCAATTTTTAAACAAAAAAAAGTTAGCCGGCGTTTTTTTGTATGGTTTTCTGCAAATAAAAAATAAAAAGATGTCAATTGGCTAAGCCAAAGCCATTATAAAAAAAAATTCGATCAACTAAACACTAATCTCTAAGCTACAAAGAACTTTGTCAGTCTATGTATAATCTACAACAAACTTTTGTGTTAGTTAAAGTCATCTCAAAAGTACAATGAACACAATATAAGAAGTATTTAACCACCTCAAGGTAGAAGGTAGTTAATTAGCAAGAAAATATTGATAAAAATAAATTAAGTGTACTATTATAATTTTATATACAAATATCACATGATCGGTTTTATATTCTAAGCATTACAGTACTTTATTTAAACCATTTCATCATGTCTTTCCATAATTCACAATCTGATTTCTTGATTAAATTAATAAGAACAGGAGATATGTTGTTTTTTTTATGCCAGTACCTAACATGGTATCAAGTATCTTTGTCTTCTTCTCCAATAGTCATTAATAATGCTGCTTAGCTCTTTTCCCTTTCAAAATATTGTCGTAAGTTAAATGCAGCCCTGTATGACATTTGACATTTGAGGGCTAGATGTTGTAAAAAGATTGCTCACATTGTAGGTACATAATTCCCAATTCACACGATTCTAACGCTGGTTAGAGGCGCTGGGAATTCGAAATGTTATTCAAATAAATATTTGCACATAAAAATAGGTGAATGATGCATTGTCTTTGAGTAATAATCAAGAAAAATCTTCTTCTGTTGCTTCCAACAAAAATTATTAGAAAAAAAAAACGGAATGCTGAAAAAAGGTCACGCTAATAACTGTAGAATTCAGTTCTTATATTCAGGAAGACTTAATTCTCAAATAATTTCTACTGTTTGGTGGACACGAAGATGTCAATTTAATTGTACTTTTACTGAAAGGTGTGCACAGACGAAACGCCATCTAGTGACGTTCAACGAAAATGACGGAGAAAGTCATGGTATTAGATGTGGGTCTATTTTGTTGCTGAATATCGACCATCGATCCACAAACCACAAACATTGTGTATATCGACCATCGATCTAGGAACAGAGGTATTTCTGATACCATCTTACATTAAAATTTGTCTGACGAAACCAAAAGATTTACATATGTATAATGAGGAGAGAAATTATATGAGATGTAAATGTTCAAGTTGGTCTATTTTTTGCAAAAGAAACTTGTGTTTATTATTTGTTACTATTGGCTTTTAAATAGTGAGGACAAACTTAGTCCAAATATATTTATCATTTAATTATCTTTCAATAGAAAAAAATATTTCCAAACATTGGTTCCTTTCCTATTTTTTTACTATTTTCTGAGAAACTCTTTCAATAATATAATGCTTATTTTATTAATTTTTGAGCCTAATCTTCTATATCACTATACTAATTTTCTGTCTGAATTTTAAATAGTTTTTCTTAATTGCACAATGTTTGTTATTCGCCTTTATTGTTTTAGACTCTCCGCCAATCAGTGATATGGTAGCACCTCCCAAAAAGAGGAGATTACCACGGAATCATTATCAACAGATAACTCACCTCCTAGCACACCTACAGGTCCAGTTCCTCTTTTAGTCAATGTAAGTGTTTCATTAACAATTCCACTTGTACATATTTTCTTCTGTAATAAGTTTTTAATCTCAAAACTCCTCATTTTAAATTGATGTTTTGTTTTCAGAACCTAGATAAAGATGTCAAACCTTCAGAGGGTGGTGTAGAAATAGTTTTTAGTGGGACAGACGGGGACAGTTCAAATCCAACCCTAGAATCCGACGCCATTTTAAAGGAACGAGCAGCTGTGATGAAGCAAGAATTTAATAAACCTATATTTACCTCTAGTTTGGATCTTCCAAGAACGGAATTTGGATCATTGAATTCATTGGATCCAAGACTTTCCCGCGAAAGCCGTTTTCTGGCAAATACAGACTTAGTAGGTACAGTGGAGAAAACATTGAGTATACTGGGATTTGAAAATACAGAAAAACATAAACCTGAGCCGATGTTACCAAAACGGAAGGTAAAGGTAAATGGTCTTAATATATTTCAATTTAACTAATGTTTGACGTTTCGATTTCTACCCCTGAAATTGTTCTTAAAAAAGTTTTTTGTACAAATTATATAAAAATGTGTATAACCAAAGATTTTGTTATTGGTTTTGTTATGTCATTTCAAAGGTGACGTTCTTGACCTGGTTATACACCAAGTTTTAACCTTTGGTTATACATAATTTGTACAAAAAAAACCTTTTTTGATAACAATTTCTGGAGTGGATATTTCCATTTATTTACATTAATCTATGTGTTAATTTTAGCTCTCCATAACAGAATATCGACAGAGGAAAAAAATAACTGTTGAAGAAAAGTCAGCAGAACAAGAACAAGTTAGTACAGAGGAAAACAATTCTTCAGAGTCATTTAAAATTACTCCAAGACAAAGATCTGATAGTGCGAGCAGTAGCACTTCAATAACTTCTAGTGATGATGACCTTTCTGTATCAGACATCATAGTTAAAAAAGGTAAGAATCGAGTATGTATACAAAGTTGGATTATAAAATAATGTGATTATTGATGAAAAACATGTTATTTTAATACCTATTATTTTGTTCAATTCATCCATCACCCAATTACTCGCGAATTCTAATTCAAATAAAAGGTGCAGATCCGTTTTGGATTTTATATGCACTTGGAAATTTTCTGTGGCTAATGTTGGGCTTGAATTATGAAACCAATTGAGTCACCAAGAAGATAATTCAATTGTGATCCTCTTCAAATATAGAAATTCTCTTCTATTCTTACAATTATCCATGTAAATTTTCTATTATTAGGAAAAACAATTTAACCTTATTTCTGTGTACATGGGACTTATTATTGCATTGCTTTAATAGTCCGAAATGGTCAATTTAACCTTAAGAGGGACATATTGTAACGCCACATGGATAACTTAGAAGAATGAAGCAGATAAGAACCCATTAATTATTTTTATGGAACTATGGAACTGAAGTAGTAATGTTGATTGTGTGACCTTGAAAAACCAATAAAGGTACACAAATTCATGAATATGAAAAGATCGTCGTCGTTTTGAATTATGCATAACATGTTATCAAGGAGACATTTCAGTAATTTTCAAAGATATTAATTTTATCATTAGAAACATTTAAGTTTCATTTTTTCAGTTGTGAAAATTTTATTCATACTTTTAACTCTAGATTACTCACATAGCAACTTATTACACGAGCGGTTGCGTGGGGTACACGTTTGTCTATAAACAGGATAAATCAGGTCTAAAATATATATTCAATTGCCATTTTAATATAAAGCAAAGTTTGTTTTTAGAAATATATATTAGACAACTTTATGTTTTGTTTAAAGCGAATAAATACATTTCAAAAATTAAAGTTTGATAAACTGGTAACCAGACCATTCATCTTCTTCTGTTGCGCATTTTAAGGAGACAACCGGTGATTCTTTCTGATGTATTTTGCAGATCCAATTATTGCAGAGGGAACAATATTTACTTATTCTTCTGTCTCTTTTTCGAGGACCATTTTCTCTTTTGGCCCTCTTTGGTTGGGATGTAGTTGTTTCTGCAGAAGTTGAAGCTTCTTCGATTCCAAGTAAAAATCCGCATTTTCCTCTCATCATTCGATAATCATCTTGATGCTACAGTCCAAGCTAGAGGCCTCGCCTATTCAAGCTTTCTACGCCATTCTGTTCTGTCCTTGCTTGAATTTTCCAGTTGCCATTTTCCTCTCAATTGTTTCAAAAATTAGCTTCATCAAGAAAATAGTGAAGGGCCATCTCCTACTGTTTCTGTCAACATTATAAGAACAACACATTTGATCTACAATATCAACCCAGAACCTAGATTAATTGTAGTCCGCTACCATTGTTGGTGTACCAGTATCCTTATCTATGCTGTCATCTGCATGGCTTATGGAAAGGAGCCTTCTGGTTGAGTTCCTGTGTATATTTCGAGGTTCACGGTAAACATGTTACTTGAGTAAACTAATGCGAAAACCTTGATGCCGTATTAAGCAGGTTTTGAAGGTATCATCATCATTCTAGCTTTACAACCCTGTATGGATACTAGCCTCCTCAAGACTTTTTCTCTAGTCCCTATTTCCAGCTTTCTTATGTCTTCATCGATATCTATCAAGGAACTTTGTTCTGGGTCTTGCTCTTCTTCTCTGACCAATGGTTCTATCAAGGAGCGTTCTTCTAGCTTGGTCATTTTGTTGCTTTGAAGGTATGTACTGCCTAAAAGGGCATCAACCTCTGAAACTTACAAGTTGTTAGTGAATTGTGAGATTTCCTTCATTCCTGACGATTATTGACATCAAATCATAGGCAACATAGAAGAAATCGGAACAGATCATATAATGACATAAGACATACAATATATGGCGTCCATCCCAGTACTGTCTTTTTTTCAAAAACCTGTTACGTTTTGTCTGCCTGATAATTTAAAAGTTTATTCATATTAATAGAATTACCACATGTTAAATGAAATATTTCTTTACATGAATTATTAATTTCTTTCATTTGTCAATATGTTGAGATAAGATACTAACCATTTCAATTCCATGTTTGATTTTTGTTAACTTATAATTTACATTTCCAGCTCCTGTATTTAATTCTGAACCAACTGAACTTGAACGTCAAAGGGAAACGTCTAGCCTAAGGTTGAAAAAGGTGTTTGGATTATCAGTTGATCGAGAGCCACCTCCTGGTAAGTGTATAATTATGAATTAGCTTTTGTTTTTTTGTCACAAATCGCAAATTTAGAGGTTTTGGTCGAAGCTAATAAAATGCAATAAATAATAAAAACTATAAATATAATACTAATTGCACAAAATTACTAATTTTGCAGCTCATTATTAGAGAATAATGGTTACAGATTGTTAAAACCAAAGAGAGAAAAGTTGAATTATGTTGCCTGTCTGCTAAATTTATCTTATGTTTTGTTTTGTTATTGCGTGGATTTTCAATCCATACAAGCCTTGTCTGAGCCGTTCTAGTTGTCTTTTTAAATACCAGATATTTCGAGTCATAATCAAAGCTGCCTAATAAGAATTTCCTTTGTATATATTCTATGGTGCTTTATCCTTCAGATTACAATAACATCTTTTAGTTTTCCTAGTATTGTTCTGATCATTTCATAATCTTAATGCCATACTTGTTGATTATTTTCGTTAAATCCAAAGAAACAGAGCTGAATACATTTAAATATGTTCGAGTTATTTAATTATTTGTTGTAATATAGAGCTTTATTGGGCATTCAAAATCTCAACTTTTCACAATAATATACCTCTTAAATATGCGATTTTGATGTCATGGAGTATTATACAAGACTTTTTACAAAAATAAAAATTTTTACTTTAATTTGCTTAAGATATTTTAATAGAGATTAATCTATAATACTTAAAATGAAGAAAATACTAATACTAACCATTTCTGACAAATTGTACAAATTATCTGGTATATGACCATAATGTAAGGTATTTTCTCTGTTTTCATGACCAATAACAGAATATTATTTTTCTCAGCATGAATAAACACCGCTGTTCCTGAAAAAAATATTCTCCATATATATAATAATCAATTTTTAATACAGCTTTGAACATTCAAGCCATACTAAACATGGAAATAGAGCCCAAGGTGAGATCAGCCCAGCCTTTACCTGGCCAACAGTGCCATGTCCTGGGAAATACAGAACCTACAGCTAAGGAGTCTGATTTACAGCCACCTGCATCTCCAGAACAAGTTCCGATGATGTGCAGTCCACCGTTAGTTGTAAAATCTCCGAAACCAGAAGCCATGGAAACTGAAGACATTTCTTCGCCTGAAATTGAAAACCAGAATCTAGAAGAGATAGTTGATGTCAAGGAGGAAGAAAATAAGGAGGCTGCTCCTTTGAATATGTTTTATACACCAGATGAGGAAGATACAACAGAGGTGGTAGATAAGGAAGAACCTTCAGCTGTATTTGAAGAACCAGAAAGTGTAAATTATGTTCCACCTTTTAACAACCCAGTGTACCCGAATAGTAATTTTCCCACATTTTCATCAACAATTGGTAAGTAATTGTCAGTCTGTTTCTTTGAATTATTGATTTAATATTAAGTAAGGAACAAAAATTAACATCTTCATAAAATGTACTTATTACTTCTTGTCTCTTTTATTTTTTGATCTTATCTACATGTATATAAAATAGACTTCGAAATAATAATTAGTTTTTGGATTTACATGAAAAAATACATTTTAAGGGATTCATGCTTAGCTACTCCAGCCACTCTTCCATGTCCACTCTAAGTGTAATTTACAGCCCATAGCAATGTTACATTTTTTATTTTTTTGGTGTGTTGAGAGGGTTAGTATAAGCTTAACTTCAAATTTTTGGGCTCGCTACACTTGTCCTGTAACTTTTCGATGAACTAATAGTAAAGTAGTGGCATATGAATCTTTATTTATTCCAGTTTCTTCATTAACCTGCGCCAAACTTCTTTCTTCTTCATGTGCCTTGCTCGATTATCGAGTGTTGGCTATCAAATTGGCTATAGTTAGTAATTTTGTTGACGGCAGCTCGGAAAAGAGATGCAGAGGATCTGTTAAACCAATCTCTCACGTTTCTAAGCCATGACGTTCTTCTTCGACCTGGTCCACTTCTTCCGTCTACCTTGCCTTGTATTATTAAATGGAGTATATTATATCTCTCTGGGTGGCGCATAACATGGCCAAAATATTCAAGTTTGCGATTTTTAACTGTTTTGACGACTTCCGTAACTTTTCCCATCTGACAACAGTATCACTTACCTTACAACCAAGGTAAGTGATACTGTTAGTTCTCTCCAGTGTTCACCATAAGCTGTTATCACTTCCGTTTGTATTGGCGTTTTACTGACGACCATCACCTTTGTCTTTGCAGTGTTTAGCTTAAGGCTATATTCATCACCTGTTGTGGTAATCCTATTAATTAGATGTTGAAGTTCTTCGTAATTGCATGCAATTAATACTGTGTCATCCGCATATCTCAAATTATTAATATTGAGAGCCCGACGAAAGCATAATGTTGAATCTTTATTTACTCTAGTTGCTTCATTAGCCTGCGCCAAGCTAAATTTTTATTTGGTTACTTACATATGTAATGTTGCTTAGAATATATATACAGTTTTGCCATAAATCTACTCTCATCTGTAAATCATACCATGTTAGCTCTCTTTTTTAGTGTTTTATTAAGATTTTATTAAAAAATTACATACACAGATTGACATATGGTTCGATATATGATATGTTTGTTCTTTTTATCTTTGTTTTTGCAACTCTTCTCCATCTCTTTATCATGTGCATCTTATTTTGTACTTTGTTTGATTTCCTAAACTTTACCTACCTGCTAAATCGTTTCTGTATTGCAATCTCATCAATGTCCATGTATTTCATGTTTTAGCCATTTTTGTTTTGATCTTGAAACCGTTTTTCTTGAGAACCACATTGAGTGAAAAAATTCGATGTTTTTTTCTTTTGTCTTGTTGAAGATACCTGATCTATCACTCTTATGATGAAAAAAAAAATCTGAAAATTCCAGCACTTTTATTTTTTTTACAGGTCGACAAAAATCTATTACAAAAAATCCCATTGGCTTATTCGAATGCCTTTTAATTTTGCTCATTATTTTCTCTTTAGTTACTATTAAATTAAATAAAAAAAGTATAGACGTGTCTAGAAGTCCCTTTGTAGTGATTTATAGGTTTTTTAATAAAAATTTCTGTGAATACAATGGGTTCAAAAATTCTGTAAAAGTACTCTTAACTGTCCAAAAAATATGAAATATTTAACATATAAAAAGACAATTTGTGTGGTAAAGAAGTAATCTGGGTATGCAGAAGAGCATAACAAAGTCAGTACTAAATATAATGAGTGAATAACAAGCGTGTCACAGAAAAAAGTGTGCGTTGACCTTTTTTATTAACTCAAAAAAAATTCTATTTCATACATAGACCTCACATCTGAATTAAAAAAAATTACCTGTATCCAACCTGTATATGTGTGTGTGTTTGTGCATTATTGACTTCGGAGGCTCTGTCTATTCGCTATCTTACCTTTATGGAAATTATTTTGTATTTTTTGTTCGGAATCTAAAGGAGTGCTCCTTGCTTTCTTCTCGTTTGCTATACAATCATAGTCCTGCTCTAATTTTACAAAGAAATATTTTCTATATATCTAATTTTACAATTATACATTAGATTTTTAAACCTGTATATATCTTGCAATATACATTATTTCCAAGAAAAAATACTTACATTTCAAGCCTCGACACCTAAGTCCATTGTTTTTGGGTAATATTGCGCAGTCATGAAATTCTCAAAAAATTACACATTAGAGATCCATAAAATATCTACTTTAAAGCACTCTGTAAATTCAATGGTGTCACAATAATATTTATCTCTAAATACTTGTTTTGAACCTTATATTCACCAAAAATTTTTTTAATTTCCCAAAAAAAAAATCACGAAAAAAGATCCTCCCAAATATTAATAGAGGTCCTTAGACACTTACACATTGCTTCATTTAATTTGACTATATTCAAAGAGAAAATAACTTTTATTTATTTTAAGGAGAACAATTAAATTCACTCAAATAGGGCTAGTTCAGACACGGCGGAATTCGTGCGGATCTTATTTACAATGGCATAATACTAGACGTTGATACCAGACCTCGCGGATCATGTACCTGTGAGGTAGCCGCCACTTAACCACTGGAAAATGAATTCACAAGGACACAGCTATTAGTATGATCACAGAATAAGAAACAATCAGAAGGTAAACTCACAACTGCCGCCTTTGATATTTTTACACGAGGTGACTAGATCGGCAGCCATGTTATTGGCGGTTGTTGGTCAGACTTATATTTTCACCAGTTTTGTAACCGGCCGGTTTCACAAAGTAAAGTTACCTTGCCGTTAAGAGATAACCAGCGGTTACCCTGAAATATAGGTTTCACAATATAAGGTCAACAGCTCGGGTTGTGGTTAACCTACAAAATTTTTAACCCAACGAAAAAGCGGTGGTTTAGAGCTTGACCAGGATATCCTAACCTGGTCAGGACAGACACGTAAATTATTAATTAATCAGATATGGATTTATATAATGTAAATGCTTTTAGCAGTGACGAGGAAACTGGCATTCTACCACATTTTTATATTTCATGCATAAGGAAATAAGTATTTGTTCCTCTTCTGGCGAAAAGTTTGCCAATCTCTTGAACATTTCTGTGGGTTTCATTTTATAATTTTAATTTTAACTTGAAAGAACAAACAACCACTACGTAGAACAAACTACCACACTAGAACAGATCTGGAAAATGAGAATAATATTTGTATATTGTTTTCGATCTAACGTGACAAATGTGTCATAACTCATCTATACTGGTCAATGTCCATAATATTTACTGACAATATTCCATAAAAATATGATTATTGTCCATAATTTCCTACCAACATAAAAAAAATAAAACGAAACCTAAGGTTAAGTGACCATAACAGAATCTGTGAAACGGCATCTGTCAGTTAAACTAGGGGTAAAGGTTACTTAACTCCTAGGGTTAACCACTAATTGTGAAACTGGTCGTAAACAGGTACTTTGATAATTCATTAAGACGCCTCAAACATAGAAGGCCAATATGATTATGCATACCTTATAAAAAACGGAATATATTCAAATAAACTTTTAGTAATTAGTACAATAAAAATTGTTTTAGTGTATTTATTGTACAATAAAAATGGGTAAAATATATACAAAACAAAAAAATATTTTTGATTGTATGACAAAAAATATACCTGAGGCTAACTTTTGACATATATTTTGTAATTTAAGTAATATGCTTTCTATATAAAAAGTTTTTAAATGATCTTTGACGACATTGTATTGCTTTAGGATACAAAGCAATACTTTTGTTTTCTAGCGGATTTGCGCGACACTATAGAAGCCATTTTTAATGTGAAGGAAATCTTATTTCATAAACTAGATCTAATGTATTATTTCTATTATTTAAGTAGAAAATATTCTATTGTTACAATGTAAGCTGACCAGCAAGGAAACATTTTCTTCGCGCCACCAAAATTTCCGAGAATTCATGATTGAGACGTGATTTCATATATATGTGACCAGTTACGACGCTTGATTTTGGATGACTTATTTCATTTTCTGTTTGCTAGACTATTATAGAGGCAGTTGACTTATCCATTGCAACCACGCCGAGTAGTCACAAGTTTTTCTTTTGGTGGCACCATTGATCTTATATTAGAATCAATATTTCACTGATCTTTACAAGTAATAGTTTACGCGATAGTCACAAATAGTTACGCGTTTTGAGTTAACAATTCAAAAATTCGGATATTCAGTCATAAACTCTTCATGTTTAGGCCGCTCACATGAAATTGGACAGAGAAATTTTCCAGTACATCATTGCACACTTTGATATACTCTCTGTAAGTTGAAAATAAGTACCAGTTTAAATAGGTTTTTCAAGTATAATTCAAAAACAACATATACTTAACTGAATATATATTCTGATGTTCAGTTTCAGAAAAAATGTTTAGTGCATGCTATATAATTGACTTTTGTGTTTTGTATGGAGTGTAGATGTTAATGGCAACAGAGATACACTTTATGATATTTGATTTAATAGAGACTATGCGCACTACAATGTACTAATCTTGTAGGAATACAATTTCAAAAAATCTTATGCATAAAAGTGTTCACTGCAGGTATAAAAAATTGTGCTGGTGACACAGAGAGCATATTACACATTACAAAATGTCTTTTTTTATGGATCAAGTACACACATGCTGTTTCTTCAACTTTCAAACCGAAGACAGTACACTACTTGCACATGTCTGACCACTATTAATTGAATTGGAACTACGCAGTTTTTATCCGGCTGGATTCCACTGAGTCTGAACTAGCTTAGTAACTTATTTATGAAAACGAAATGGACGTAATTTTTCAAACATAGTTTTGTAAAAAATTTTAAAACAGCTGAAATTTCCAGAATCCAAGCACTTTTTGATCACAACAAAGTGAAAAACG